CTATTTTAAATTCACAATGCATTCAAATGCATTACAAGGCTATTGATAATTCGGCTATTTTCAATGTAGAACAAAAGAGAGATATTAAATCAGAATAATGAAAGCAAGTAGACGCAGCATGTCACAGATCAGCTCGACGCTCTGTTTGAATGTGATTCTTTAGTTAATCTAATTGTCTTGTAATAGAGAAGCGAGTTAAGTTAATTACTCATTTGTTTTTTTCTGGACCTTTCGCCACTGAAGCAGAGAAAGAAAGAGAGAGAAGGAGAGAAATATATAGAGCAGCCAAAGAAAAGAGATTCAATATCAGAGGTCTGTTGCCTTTTCCAGTTGGCACGGAAAGAAATGCCTAATGACAGGGAGCATCGGCAGCAGTTCCAGCACATTTCTGGCAGTGTATTTACACGAGTCGATGCCAACTTACACTTGATTAAAGTAACATTGCACGGACTGGTGGTCATGCACTCTTGGCATCATCATCCAAGCGGACAAAAAAGTGTCAGCTGTTGTTACTGTAGCTCATCAGTTTAGTTCCCAGATAACAAATCCTAGTGGAACGAGGGATTATAAGTGGTTTTAGATAAAAAAATGCATTGAAATTGCCTGTTTAAAAAGACATTTTATAACACTAAAGTGGAGAATTCTGAAAAAATCTGAATCTCTGATCAGCAGTGGGTAGATCAAGCATGTTTCAACGGCAAAAGATGAGGAATGTTAGGGAAACGTGCCAGTGCCAGGATGCCAAGATGATGCCTTGGCTAATATTACACACTTGTATCCAATGCTTTTCTACATTTAAACTAATTATGAAAGCAGAAAGTATAAACGGTGCATCAGATATACAGTGGCATTTTTGAATGCTCCGAGATCTTTGACACAGATGGTTGTGGCATATGCATAATTTCAGCTGAAAACACTTTAAAAGTGCCCTTTGGTCAGTTGTGCGATCGCGCATTTGGCTTTCAAGTCAACATTAAAAGGTGCTCGTGACCCACTTTTCTTCTGTAATCTGATGTATTTTTAGAAAATATGTAGGATGGGGGTTAATTTTGTTCATCGTATGTTAAATAAAATGGAAAAAGTGTGTGTGTGTGTGTGTGTGTGTGTGTGTGTGTGTGTGTGTGTGTGTGTGTGTGTGTGTGTGTGTGTGTGTGTGTACAGTTGAAGAATTATTAGCCCCCCTGAATTAATAGCCTCCTGTTTATTTTTACCCCCAAATTTCTGTTTAACAGAGAAGATTTTCTAAGCATAATAGTTTTAATAACTCATTTTTAATAACTAATTTATTTTATCTTTGCCATAAAGACAGTACATAATATTTTACAAGATATTTTTCAAGACACTTCCATACAGCTTAAAGTGACATTTAAAGGCTTAACTAGGTTCATTAGGTTAGCAGATTAGGGTGATTACAGCCTGATCTCATGGGGAAACGTAAGTATTATACGTTTTGTCAGTTCAGTGGCTAATTCGTACGAATTCGTACGAGTTCAGTCGTACAAAAACGTACGATTTAAAAAAGGAGGCGTGGCACCTAACCCCACCCCTAACCCCAACCGTCATTGGGTGATGAGAAAATCGTACTAAATTGTTTAAATTAGATCGTACGACTTTATACGAATTAGCCTCTAAATCAAAAAGTTACGAATTGCCGTGAGATTGTGTTGGTTATTAGGCAAGTTATTGTATAATGATGGTTTGTTCTGTAGACTATGGGGAAAAAATAGCTTAAAGGGGCTAATAAATTTGTCCTTAAAATGGTTCTTAAAAAATTTAAAACTGCTTTTATTCTAGCTGAAATAAAACAAACAAGACTTTCTCCAGAAGAAATAACATTATCAAACATACTGTGAACATGTCCTTGCTCTGTTAAACATCATTTAGGAAATATTTAAAAAAAGATAAGAGCTAAGAGATGAAAGATAATAATTCTGATTTGAACTGTACACTGCTTATAAATATATATATATATATATATATATAAGAGGAATTTATGACATGACATTTTCTCCATCTTGTTATGATTAGATTGCACAAATTAAATAAAAAAATGTTTTAAATTAAATTAAAAACAGGGCATAACTGAAAGAAACTGCAAACTCTTATTAACAATGTATAATTATTTTTTTAAAGTGGAATGTTAAAGTATATATTGGCTACTCAATTCAACAGCACTTAATATTTTTACAGTTCGAGTTGTTGACTGACTAGTAGTTTATTTTTCACATTTAAACTGATAAAACACAAAAATTAAACAAATTGTGTGGCCAATAACAAATACTTTTATAAAAGATATTATTTATATATTCATTTAGAATTATTGTTATTATTATTAATTTTATTTTATTATTTTTTTGAAGGGGGCAGGGTCTCATCTTCCTTCTTTTTTGTCCTTGGCTGATCACATTGCCTGGATGTTACAAGTGAAGTTATTATTAAATATAATAAATAAATGTTCTTCAAAATTCAAGTCAGTTTTATTAGGTTTCTTTTTGTTTCCATTTTTAAATTGCCATGTCAGAATAAAAACACTTTTTATCCAGACTGGAGTTATTATTGCGTTTCACAAAAACAATCTCCTTCCTACAGCCTAAAACACATGATACTTGACCATTCGCGCTCACTGGATGCACACATTTCACCAATATTGGTTAAATATTTATTGGTTATATGAGAGAGGCTTAATTGATGAATCAGGGAACGATACACAACACACCAGAAGACCATTCAGAGAGTGGTTTTGGATAGTCACGCCTCCATTTTCAAAGGTTTGGGTTTCAATCCTTCTACGCTGAAACGAAACCCCAGAATTGGTTGCAAACAATTTATTTTGGCTGAATTTAAACAAATTCAATTTCCTAATGTTCAGCTTAATTTGTTTGTATGAATTGTTTGCAACAATTTGCACTGAGCCATTTGTTCAAGGTGAAGCATGTCTTTTTTTTTTTTCAATTTTGTGAAAAGGTGATGTCGCACATTTTCATTATGTGTTCAGTCTAGCTTTTAAAATGGCTAATTCAATTGTTTTTAGTGCATTGCTGCTGAATAAATACACTTTAAAGGTTTTATTTACAACAAAAATACTATGCAAGTCAAATAAGGGATCTTATTTTGTGTTCAACATAAGAAAGAAACTCAAACACATTTTGAAGTGAAATAAGGAGTGAGTAAATGATGGCTGAACTGTCATTTTTGCATGAACTGTCCCTTTAAAAGTGCATTTTAATTTATTAAGTTCTGGTTTGATTTTTACTTTTGAAATGATCTGCAATATTTTCAGAAGCTGCAAAAAATTAATTCATTTTCCTTTGGCTTAGTGTATGATTAATCAAAGGCCCCCACAGCAGAATGAACCAATAAGCGGATGTCCTTCCAGCTAAAACCTAGTACTGGGAAACACCCATACACTCCGCCATTCTCACACACACACACACACACTACGCCCAATTTAGTTTATCCAATTCACTTGTACCCAGGGTGCAAACTACACATGGGCGATCAGGGGGGGTGGACTTTTTTTGTTAAGCTTTCAGTGAATTAAATTTATCTATTTATTTAAATCACATCAAATTTATTAATAAAACGTATTTAAGTTTTCAGTGTTTTGAGCAATAATAAATGTATTCTGACCTAGCGTAACCTGATTATTTCAAAGGTTACTTGCTCAGACTATGAGCCTAATATTTACTTACTAGGCCATATGCAGGGGCAGATTTAACCTATATGCAAGGTAAGCGGCCACTTAGGACCCCAGGAAATCGAAAGGCCCCCAAATAAATACCTTGAAGTATAAATGATACCTATGAATTATATATAACATTGTTTTCTATCATATTATGTATGGTGAGGGTCTAAAAATTTTATTTGTGTCCCCCACCCCCAATCTTGGACCAGTCCAGCAGTCAAATCAGTAAAGATTTACTCATAAAAACAAAATAGTTCATTTATAACTGTTAGTTGTGAATTCATTTTTAGAAAACAAATAGTTTTAAAGGTTTTAGAAGATGTTATGCTTTATATGTTATTATTATTTTGCATTACGATAAAATGCAGAAAAGGAGATCGAGTGATATATGTATAAATTTTTTAAAGAAGTATAATTTATATAAATATAGAAATATATATCCCAAAAGTTCAAAAAATGCATCTTTTGTACTTTAAAAAAAAAAAAAATATATATATATATATATATATATATATATATATATATATATATATATATTTTTTTTTTTTTTTTTTTTTTTAATAAAATTTTTTATATAAATTTTTTTTTTTTATAAATTTTTTTATAATTTTTTTTTTTTTTTTTCAAAATCACTAAATCCGCCCCTGGCTATATATAAATATAAACACCTATTTTACAAGAAAACTGTCTTGTGACCACTTACGATATCCATCGCTGCTCTAGATCTGCTGGTTTAGACACTGTGGAATGATTCTTGCAAAGACTGATTGGCGTATGAACCATTATACGGTTTAAACCATTATAGGGGTGGTCAAATGTAGGTTTGTATTATCTATTATTTTAATTAATGATGTTATTAGTTAAGATACAGATCTGGGAAAACTATTTTTAACCTAATTTATTAATTAGGGGGGTAAATCCCCCCCAAACCTCCCTGTAATTCGCACCCTGCTTAAACCACATGTTTTTGGACTGTGGGGAAAACTGTAGCACCCAGAGGAAACCCACATGAACACTGCGAAAAATTCATAAACCAATTCTTCATTGTAAAATCTTTATATTTTTTGTGAGTTTTTTTGAGTCCTTAAACTGATGAGTTTCTGTGAATGAACCTGAATATTTCCACAATACTTGCACTCGTCTTCAAAGAACAATACTTTGACAATCATGTGACTTTCTTCTCTGTATGAGTTGCTTTTAAATTCTGTTTGCTCATTGAACTTTTTTAATGCAATGCTGAACCAGATCTGTCTAAAGGACTCACTTTGGTCTGCCACACTCTAACCCAAAGCATTTTCCCTCTCTTTTATTTTCTCTAGCTTTCAAGTAAGAGCTACACTTTCCGTTTGAGTTGAGCAGCTCATCCCTCCATCCACCATGGCAGACGAGTCCGACATGCGCAACGAGCTGAATGACATGCAGGCCAGAGCCGATCAGCTGGGCGATGAAGTAAGTACACCTTCAACCTCCAGGTCTATAAATAACCCCTAAATACGACAACAAGTGTGTATAAATAGACCCGTCCCAGTGTGAAGGAGAATGAACACACCATGACTTCCAGACACTCGGATTCACATAGGAGTATCATGCATGGAAATAGATGCCAATTACATATATGACATGCGAGTTCATATTTGGATTTCACATATACAGTTAAAGTCCGAACTATGTATATTTGTTCCCCAATTTCTGTTCAACAGAAAGATTTTTTTCACCACATATCTAAACATAATAGTTTTATTAATTAATTTCTAATAACTGATTTATTTTATATTTGCCATGATGACAATACATAACTGGGTATTTAACAAGATGCTAGTATTAAGTATGCTAATATATAGCTTAAAGTGCAAATTTTCCAGGCTTAACTAGGTTAATTAGGTTAAATAAGCAAGTCATTAAATATCAGTGGTTTGTGCTGTAGACAATCGAAAAAAAAATAAATTGCTTAAGTGGCCTAATAATATTGACCTTAAAATGATTTTAAGAAAATTAAAAACCTGTTTTTCTTCTAGCCGAAATAAAACAAATAAGACTTTTTCCAGAAGAAAAAATATTATAGGAAATGCTGTGGAAAACCCCCTTGCTCTGTTAGACATCATTTGGGAAAAAATTGGGGGGGAAAATCACAGGACATCATTTTGACTTTAAATGTATATGCAAATTACATAAAGTAAATCACATGCAAGTTCATTTCAAAATATTACACAAATGACTGCTTACATGTATTTTTTTCAACCATTGGAATTACAAATATGTGATTTTAAAATTGATTTTTTTTTTTCAACGCAATTTTTAACAGTTTTATAGCTCATTTCTACAGCTGGGTATTGTTCAAAACTCTGGTACCGATATGATACCGGTTCTCAATTGATACTTTTTAGATACCTATTTTATCAAATTTGTTTTACATATTACATCATTATATAATACATCTATTTTTTATTGAATACAGTCAAACTCTTTAAAGCATAAACAAACAAAATGTAGCCACAAAAAAAGAAATAATTCACCTAGTTTGCCAGCATCAGTTTATTTATTTCAGTTCAGTTGCTTTTGTCAGATTTGCCGTCATACACACTTGGTTCACTAACACTGACTTGATTTATCCATATCCGTTTGTTAAGTCGTGACATATCAGTGATGTATGTGATACTGTTTCCGGGTCCAAAAACGCTACTCATTTGAATAGACTAGTTATTTGTTGTTGATCACTTTTTAGTCCTATCACACATTAAAGTGAATTTTATATAAAATCATAGTGTACACAACAGTCTCTGGACTTGCTGTATCACAAATAATATAAAATATTTAACAATTTATAAAAAAATTAATCACTTTCTAGCTATAGGATATTAGGCATATATATATATATATATATATATATATTGCGATTGTGATTTTCGAAAGAATTACATCGCTTTGTAAACATTTATTATTAGCATTAAATGAGTCCTCTCATATGGTTTGATACAGCACTTGGACCCGGAATGATTTCACACTTAACAAGCAGATTGCTATCACAATTTGGTACCGAATGTACCTGGTAGTATCAAGACAATTCGGTCGGTGGCTAAAAAGCATCAACCTCAATATCTACCCTACTCTTTTCAAATAACTAACTTCTTTTGTCTTTGCTATGACAGTACATCAGTGGTTCTCAAACTTTTTTCATCAAGTACCACCTTTGAAAAAAATTGTCTCTCCAAGTACCACTAAAATGAGCAGTATTGAAATACAGTAGCGTAGTAGGCCCAGTAAAGCAGCTACAACTCTGCACAGTTAAAAAACCTGGCAGATTACCTCAGAAATATAGGCTATATATAATATATGGCATATTATATACATAATTTTTAATAAATTTTTAATTATTTGTAGCATGTACATGAGATATTTCATTCCTCCGTGTACCACTAAAAGGAAGCCCGCATACCACTAGTGGTACACGTACCACAGTTTGAGAACCACTGCAGTACATGATATTTTACTATTTATTTTGCATGATACAAGTATCCAAAAAAATGCTTAATGACTTAATGACTAAAATGACATTTAAAGGCTTAACTAGGTTAATTAGAAAACTTAGGTCAATTAAACAAGTCGTTAGACAATAGTATTTTTTTCTTCTATCAGGAAAAAATAATAATAATGAACTTAAAATTTGTATAAAAAATATTCAAAACTGTTTTTATTCCAGCCGAACATAAAGAAATAAGGCTTTCCTCAGAAGAAAAAATCTTATAGAAAATTTCTTTGTTTCATTAAACATCACTTGTAAATTAGTTTTAAAAAGATAAAAGATTTCACAGGAGGGGTAATCATTTTGCCTCCAACTGTATATAAAGTAATTCCATTGGATGAAAACTATATGTAAATGGTCATGTTTGCAAATTTCAAAATAAATGTTGCATATATGATGTATTTTCTATATATAAAAACCAAATATGAACTTGTATATCAAATGTGTTATTTGCATACATTTCCATATGTGTATGTCATATATGTTATTTGCATACTTTTCCATTTATCAGATTTCTGTGTAGTGTGAAAGACAGAACATCTATAAAGAGCTTGAATAAGTCTGTTTTGTGCAAAAAACAGAAGCATCTCTATATTAAGACTGCTCGTCTGTTTGTGATAGAGAAAGCGAGGCTGCTGGCGATCGGGTTTCTCGCTCATCACAGTGTCTGCACTGTGGGAGATCTGAACTGGCTTTGATAGACCTTTAATCACACTGATCTCCTGCTGAACAATCATAACTCTGACACACGACGGCATGCGGGAGGGTTAACATGGCTGATTGAGCACGTCAGCTGAATCGCAGTGCACATGGGGGAATTATTAACAGCGTCACAGTGCAGTGGCTTTTATGACGGGTCAGTCTTTATTTTGTTAGGCTCTCCTCAGTGGTGGATGAAGTACATCGATCAAGCACTTAATAATTTAATAAATACAGCTAGTTTAATAAAATAAAATTCCTGTAAATGTCCATGTGGGTTCAAACCTTTTTCAAATCTAGCGCACATTGTTATTCTTTAGGTGAACAATTAACTTGTGCAAGGTAATCCACTGAAAAAAAGTTTTAGTAATCTTCAATCAAATTTTCATCATCTGCTACTGCTTTTGGAGTGGCAGTCCTTCTGTCGATGTCTGTTTGACAGCTTTAGACACAATATTCTTGATCATGCCCCTCTTACCGTTTGCTATGAGGGAATGATTCATATAAAGAAAGACACACCCCTGCATAATATTCAATTTCAGTTGGAAGTACATCAACTTGCTGAAATGAAAGTCTAAGCAACTTAGTTCATGCAGACTTTTAGTACAAGATTAACATATAAAAGTGCTTTTTTGTGATGTCAAAAGTATACATTAGAGGAAGCTTACATATTTAAAATTCAAAAAAAATAATTTAATGTTTAGCTTAGGGCCATACCACCCTGGGAATGCCTGATTTCATCTGAACTCGGAAGTAAAGCAGGGTTGGGCCTGGTTAGTTCTTGGATGGGAGACCGCCTGGGAATACCAGGTGCTGTAAGTGTTTTGAATTCCTTTATTTGGCAGCTAATACACTTCCCCGTGTCACAGCTCTGCTGCTAGTATCTTTAGGGGTGACGCAGTGGCGCAGCAGGTAGTGCTGTCGCCTCACATCAAAAAGGTCGCTGGGTCGCTGGTTCGACCCTCGGCTCAGTTGGCGTTTCTGTGTGGAGTTTGCATGTTCTCCCTGCGTTCCAGTGCTCCAGTTTCCCCCACAGTCCAAAGACATGCTGTACAGGTGAATTGGGTAAGCTAAATTGTCCGTAGTGTGTGTGTGTGTGTGTGTGTGTGTGTGTGTGTGTGTGTGTGTGTGTGTGTGTGTGTGTGTGTGTGTGTGAATGTGTGTGTATGTGGAAGTTTCCCAGAGATGGGTTGCAGTTGGAAGGGCATCATCCACTGTGTAAAAATGTGCTGTATAAGTTGGCAGTTCATTCCGCTGTGGTGACCCCAGATTAATAAAGGGACTAAGCTGACAAGAAAATGAATGAATGTCTGATGTCTAAAAGCAGTTTTTAATTTTTTAAAAACCCTTTTAAGGTCAAAATTATTAGCCTCTTTAAGGTATATTTTTTTCAATAGTCTACAGAACAAAGAACTTGCCTAATTTCCCTAACCTGCCTAGTTAACCTAATTAACCTAGTTAAGCCTTTCAATGCTACTTTATGCTGTAGAAGTGTCTTGAAAAATATCTAGTCAAATATTATTTACTGTCATCATGGCAAAGATAAAATAAATCAGCTATTAGAGACGAGTTATTAAAACTATTATGTTTAGAAATGTGTTGAAAAAAAAACTGCTCTCTGTTAAAGAGAAATTTGTGAAAAAATAAATGGGGGCTAATAATGCAGGGGGACTAATAAAACTAACTATAAGTCACAGTTTGTATTATAGCCCCATTAATCCTCCTTGTAGGGCTGCATTCTAAACAAACAATATTATAACAGTAGAGCAGCCAAAATCCTACATGGTCCATGTCAGGAGAGAACCATTATACGGGATAAGTCTGTCACCAGATCCAAAATTGGGCATTTTCGGAGACACCTCAGAAATAGGAGATAAATATATATCACAGGCAGTATCTTTGTGTATGATATTAGCAAAGAAAATAATATTACAAAATTGGAAGTCAGATTATGTGCCTGTTTTCGAAATGTGGGTTAGAAGCTTAAGTTTCGTGTTGCCCATGAAGGAAATGCGATATGGGATGATAAACAAACTAAACACATTTTTAAAAATCTGGAGCCCAATTATGTTCTTTATCAGTAATGCTAACTTGTAACTCTTTATAAGTGAGATTGGTCTGGAGTAAATCGAATTGTGGAGCCTATGCATTTCTCTGTAAATTATTTTTGTTTCATATTTAATTCTATTTATTTCCTTATGCTTTCTGGATGATGTATTATGTTGTATCTGACTATTTGTATATTTTGTAATGGCCTTTGTAACCCCCCTTTTTTTTTTTATGTAGTTTTTTTTTTTTTTTTTTTTTCTGTTTATGTTGTTGATTATTTCTTATGCTAAAAACAATAAAAAGATAAAAAAAAAAGCAAAAAAAAAAAAAGCAGTGAAGCCAGACATGAACAATTAATGAAAACTTACAAAGAGAATTATCATTTTGCAAAATAAGACAAGGAAATAAATCAAATTGCAACTTTGTAACTTTTTCATTTTTGAGCTGTATGTTTCTAGAAGTTGGATATGACCAAACAGTCCCAAAACACAGCAAAAAAGGTAGCTTGTGTTGCTAAACAGACCGCAATTAGGATTTGATTCATCAGACATCACTTATATAGAGTACAATACATTTTCGTTTGTTTGTGTGCTGTTTTGTGTCCCAATCTGGACTGTAACCCAGCCAGGCGAGAAAATAATGGATGATTATTACAAATCATTTCGGAGCATGCACAATATTGTTTCTGTTTTGGCCCAAAATTTTCATTTTTGTGCATCCCTACTTGCAATTAGTTAAATTTACAAGATAAACATTTTCCATTGGTCTTTAAGAATGCACTTTTTTGTGTAAATTTAAATTGTCAAGTAAATCTGACCTTTTTCCCTCCTGCATTTTAACATTGGAAAAAAAAAATACCACACTTCACCTTCAAGCCCTCACAATGACAAGGCGGTGTATGGTTCCATATGATCTACTGTATAACTCGTCCTGATGGCTCTCTAAAAAGCAAATCGGGATCTCAATAATGATCTTTAATCCCAGCCTATTATTGAGCGTCCTGTGGCGCTGCACAGTCATATTTCTTCAGCTCAGACATATACACTGGACTGGAATGGCAGAGCTTTAAATATTCATGAGTGGATAATGCTATCTTGAGCTTTCTTTGAAGGAACAGGAAGGAAAAGGGGGAACAGAAATGGCTGTACATTCAGCTCAGCTTGAACTTGGCAGCCATTAGTAACGTGCTGTCGGAACTGATATTATGAATATTATAGCTTCGTTCCAACTGTGGTGCTCAACACAGAGCATTCATGTAACATTATGAAGAAGCAAACGATGTATAGTCACACTTGCTGTAAATATTAAGTGTTTTTTCTTTTTCTTTTACAGTCTTTGGAGAGCACTCGACGCATGCTGCAGCTGGTCGAAGAGGTGAGATATTAATTTAGTACATAACGGAAAGCCATTGTGCGTTTTCTTTTATGATGTTGCACATAAAATCTAAATTATTGGAGGATATATATTTTTCCTTGAAAATTGAATGTATAAGGTCATCAACATATTTCAGATTAAACAGCGGGGAAAATAAGTCTTCAACACGTCACCATTTTTCTCAGAAAACATGGTTTTAAAGGTGCTGTTGACTTAAAATGTTCTCCGGATGTTGGTAACAACCAAAGAAATCCATATATGCAAAGAAAACAAATCTAATTAGTTTACAAATTAAGTTATGCATAATAATTTAAAATGACGCAGGGAAAAAGTCAACACAGGCTCATTCTGAAAACGTAGTCCTGCGGACGTTTCTGGAAACCGCAAATTATGTAGCCGGAGGTACGGGCGGTATGACGCCCTTCCTTTTGGCGCTTACCGGCTGACCGCTTACTTCCGTGTGGAGGGCTTTCCCGCTGCAACCAGTTTGTCCAGTTAGCTCGTCATGTACGTCAACAGACTTAAGACGCAGAAAGAAGTTGACAACCAGGTTCGAGTCCTGGGAAGAGCGGTTCCAGAAATCAGAAAATGTGGTAAAAATCAGATGAGGGATTATCTTTTTCTCGACGGCTTTTGTAAACCGTCGGCTAGGTTTAGGGAAGGAAGCAGGCGGGTGGGTCAATCCATAAAATTGGCTGTGTTTAGGGAAGGAGGAGGGTGTGTTGGTCGATTGGCTGGACACCCAGTCAATCATTCAGTCATTCAGTCGGTTGACAGTGGCCTCTGGTGGGTTCACGTGAGAACGGCACTGGCCAGAGGCATTTAAAATTTTAAAAAAATGCACACAGCAGCCTCTTGCGGTTTCTCGAAAGCAAAAACTGCAAAAATATACGTACCTCCCGGGACATATTTTGCTGTCTCCAGAAACGTCCACGGTACTACGTTTTCAGCATGCGCCTGGGTTGGAAAAAGTATTGAACACAAGAAAAAAGGCAGGTGTAGAAAGGCAGTGAAAGCCCAGACAGCAGCAGAAATCGCTCAGTAGTTATTCAGCAATCCTCCATTGTAAATGAATATTAGCTGCTTCAGTCCAACATCTACATTAGCAGAATGATGAAGATGAATCCAGGGTGGACATTTCAGCAAAACACTGATCCAAAACACAGCCCAGGAAACTCTCAAATGCTTTCAGAGAAGGAAAATCAAGCTGTAGAATGGCCCAGCCAATCACCTGACTTGAATACAACCGAAAATACAAATTAAAGATCAGATTTGATAGACGAGACCCACAGAACCATTAATATTTTTACACTCTGTTGAAGTCTGTAAAAAACTCAGACCTGAGCAATTCATGTGACTTGATTCTCCATATGAGGGTCGTCTTTAAGCGGCCATCAGCAAAAAATCCTTTTATATAAAGTATTAAATACATTTCAGTAGTTCAGTACTTACACATAACTATTTTTTTGTTTGTTTTGTTTGTTTTGTTTTTTTATGTCCGTATTGTTTAGGTTTTTATCAAAATCTGGTTCAATTCCATGTCAACAGCTCCTTTAGAAACATTATTCCCAAGTTTGTTCCCCGCTGTATATACAGATAATCACCACCTAAATTCTCAATTTAACAGATTTATCCAGTAAGGTAATTTTGGGTAAAATGTTAAAATGTTTTTTATTTTTTTCCTATAAAGAATAAAACAATTTTCCAATAAAAAATATTGTCATTTAGTCTTTATTCTTCAGAAAAAAAAATGTAATTGAAAATCTGTTTTATTGCTATTTTTATTCCAACTTCAGAGGGTAAAACAACAAAATATTAATACAAACATTTGTTATTTTATGCCAAAAAATTAATAAATTTAGTTTTAAATTTGGTGTTATCAACACACAACCACAAATCATAAATTATCAAGTGTTTTTTTTTCATATCTGTATAAATAATTTAATTGCATATTAAAAAGACACAAATATTACAAACTGTCATCACTAGTAGAGATTCTAGGTTGACTGTATATGAAGCGCATTAATGAAACCATTTTTTTATAAAGAGTTTGGTTTTCGTCTTGTTTTCATGGTCTTTGAAGGTCAGAAATGGAGACGATGAAACAGCACCAAATTTCCGCTCTGATAAAAATCAATAATGATTTCAGAGAAGTTTCATCTATGTGTTACTGATAGGGCAGCAGCGAGAAGCAGCAGAGAAAACCAGTCTTTCTGGTGTCTAATAGGGATCAAACACTCCTGACCCCACGTGTGAAGATGAAACACTGTTCAGAAAGGATGGGGATTTGGCATTGTGAAGACCAGAAACCTGAAATTTTAGGTCGCATGAACCCATTTTATCTAAAAACTGAAAGCGTTTTAATGCATTTTGCCTTTTCCTGTTCACAAAAATTGTTTTGAAGACCTGAAAGCTCATATCTTTGAAAACTGATATGAAAGTGCAAGTTATTTAAGGAGCTACAGTTATATTGTGTCTGTTTAAACTTTAGAAATGTGACACAGACACAAATCAATGTCTAAAAAAATTGGAAAAGTAAAATATGTTTAATTTGAACTAATATTCTTGCTTGGGCTTAGCTATTAAAAAGGTGCTGTTAACTTGAAATCTAAAGGTGCTGTTGACTTGAAATTTTCCCCGGATGTTGGTAACAACCAGATAAATCCATATATGCAAAGAAAACAAATCTAATTATTTTACAAATTAAGTTATGCGTAATTAAATGAAATGATGCACTGAAAAAGTATTAATAGAAAGGGAGGGAGAATCTTTCAGTGGTTCTTCAGCTACCCTCTTCCCTTTGTCATTGTAAACTAATTTAATTAATAATTAGCAGGATGATGAAGATGAAATCAGGGTGGACATTTCAGCAAGACAATGATCTAAAACACAGACAAGGAAACTCTCAAATGTTTTCAGAGGAAGAAAATCAAGCTGAAGAATGGCCCAGCCAATCACCTGCTTAAATCTAATAGAAAATACAAATTAAAGATCAGATTTGATAGATGAGACCCACAGAACCATCAAGATTTTGACACTCTGTTAAACTCTGTGAAAAACTCAGACCTGAGCAATGCATGCGACTTCATTCTCCATACGAGTGGTGTCTTTAAGCTGCCATCAACAAAAACGCCTTTTATATAAAGTATTAAATACATTTCAGTAGTTCGGTGCTTTCTCCTTGTGTCATTTCATTGTTCTTACACATTAAAACTGTTTTTTTTTTATGTTTGTGTTTTTACCTAAATCTGGTTCAATTCCATGTCAACAGCTCTTTTAGAAATATTATTCCCAGGAAAAAACCTGACATGTTCAATACTTATTTTCCTCACTGGGTCTGTCGTATTTGTCTACAAATGAAGAGTTCAGATGCAAAAACCCCTGAATGCCACTTGAATTTTTAATCTAATCTAAAAAAATTCTCAGACTCCAATGTTTAAGTTCAGTTATTTCACTTTAAAGGCAGTTCAAATAAATGTTTGTTTTTTTTGGCTATAAAACTGAAATTACTGAACACTCAAGCCTGAAAAAATCTCTTTTTAGATGAAATTTTAAGACAGCACTTGTAGTTTTATATGTATTTTATTGCATTTGAACTCTTCAAGTATACATATAAAAAAAATCTCAATATATAAAAGGATAGTTTACCCAAAAATGAAGACAAAGGAGACATATTGTAATGTCACTATAAAGTAACAAGACTCTGCAACTAGAGTGAATGTGTGTGCTACTTAAATAGTGTGTGTAATCAGTCCTTGACAATCCTCCGGTGGTGTTTATGCAAGCAGTCAGGACAAGGAACATGTGTGTGTGAGCAGAGTGCATGTATGAAGTTGTATAGTGTTTAGATCGCTGGTGATTGTGACACTATCCCTAACCCCAACCTAACAGTCTACTTAGCATGTATGATGCAATGTAACTTCAATTCAACAAACGAACCATCAAAATAAAGTGTGAACATAAATAACAAGGTCATTTTCATTTTTGGATGAACTGTCCCCTTTAATATCTCAAATCATGGAATATTCTATATAAACGTTGTCGTTTTCTGCAAATAAAACTGCTATGTAAATGATAATACTTTTATTTAATGTGATACTGATATAGATAGAAAATAGATATACTAAAAGCAAATCCAGGGAACACAACCCCTGAAGATGCCTCTTCATTTTTTTCAATACTGTCCAAATATTTTTTCTGGTTACAATAAAACAGCCCCTCGAACCAACTGTGCTGAACTAAATCCTGTAATTGGCTATCCGAAGTTGAGAACAAATCATTCTCCTCGTTTCAGTCTATCCATTGTTGGGAGAAAATTGCACACTTGTGCTGCTAATGAACTTCAAAGTTCAGCAGCGCCGAACAAATATAATGTTCCCATCTGCTACTTGCATCTGATTTCATATTAGGCATTACTAGTTTCCATTACGCCACATGTCACTTTGACTAAACGCACGCTCCTGTTATTATTAGTATGGAAATGAGTAGCAATAAGTGGTGATGTTTGATTAAATTCAGAACGTTTTTGCTCGCATTATTTCCCGTAGGTACTCGTCACTATAACATACTGCTCATTTAGTTAAAATAATGAGGAGATGTGAGATAATCAGCTGTTTTATTTAGGTCAATAGAGGGAGAACGGCGCGCCATATTGCGCATGCATGCTCTCATACCTTCACAGTTCCACCCAGCGCTCTGTTTACAATTCTGAACTATTTTTAGCTTTATACTGTCTGCCACCTCACTGCCTTCTTATAATTACCTGCCAAACGCATAAAGCTCTCTTTGAATAATTTCAAGTGTGTGTGCTACAGTCTGTCCTGTGCTCTTTTTATTCCCTTTCTCATCTTAAATCTGACCTAAATCTCACTTCTGTTCACTTGTACACTCTAAAAAATATTGTTTAGACCAAACAAAAAAAATAACCCAATATATTCAAGTTTCGACAACATCTAACAAAATGAAGTTCAGACAACAAAGTTTATTATGTTAGCCAAATAACCTTTTCCTCTTCAATCAGATGCGTTTTACAGTACATAGCATAAACAACTTAAAAAATTAAGTAGTTTCAACTGCTTTTTTAATAAAAAATTTAAATAAATCTAGTGTTGTGTACTTAATTACCATAATTATACATGAGGTTCTAAACTTGAAAACTTGCAAATAAATTAAGTAGCTAAAATTGTAAAAAAAAAAAACAAAAAAAAACGTGCATGTTTTCAAATTTACTGTTCATTTCGTTGCTTATAAGAAATATATTCAATAACATTTTCCATTATTTTTTATTTATTTCACACCACAGTTTTTCAGTCTTTTACAAAACAAAAATGTGTACTGTACCGTATAAACCAGGGCTCGAAATTGCGACCATTTAGGTCGCATATGCGCCCGAAATTTAAGCTATGCGACCTCATAATATATTTGGGAGCATTCATGCGACTGAATATTTAGGTTGTAATGCGACCTGTTTTTTTTTTTTTTTTTCTAAAAACGTGGTAAAATCGGTCTTCCCTGCCGCTATATTGGTTCATATTAGCTGTCAATCACTCAAGACTTTCCGCTGTCAGATGACAGGGAGGGAGCTTTTGTGACCGCAAGGAATGCAAACGGCTGAAGAGTGAAAAGTGCACTGAATCTCGATGCGTTGCATTTCCTTGTGAGATCAGGCTGCAACAGCGCAAATGTCTGCTAAAAAACCATCCCCAAATAAGCTCGCCTTTACTGAGTTTAAACTGATGCGGGTTATAACAAAGAACAGTATTGCGCTGGTGGTCATCGGGAGAATCCTGCTCTGCCCCCCTCATATTGGGCCGGCTGACTCGCATGCTTTTCCGCAAACACAGAAAATTCAGCGCGTAACAAGGCTGAGCATTAAAACGACACGAACCGAAACCAAAACTTTTAAAAGTGAGACTTTTCTTGCTTTCTTTTGTCCGTTCTTTCTTGAGATGTATAATGTTTTTCTATTTAATTACTGATGACTGCTTTGAAGCTTTCAGCATTAAATTGAATCATTTATTATAATATTTTGTTTGTTTTGTAGCAGAAATATTATTTATTAAATTGACATGCATATAAAAACAATAGTACAAATAATTTGTATTTGATGCAAACCATCAATTTATTTTTCATAAAGTAACAGTAGGACTTTATATAGCAGATAACTTACGTTAAAGCACATTCAAGGCAGCATGATGATGAGAAATATAATTCATTATTAGTATTATTGTCATCATCGTCATCATTAATATTTTATAATTATTCAACATTCATTTTGGAATTATTGCACAAATATTAAGTCATCACAGCATTAGTTAGATAGTTGTTTCTGGTTTTTGTTAGTCCTAATTGATGTTGTTTTCAAATGCAATAAATCCCTTAATATACAATTTGCAGTGGTGCTCATTCATTTTTGGTGGGTGCTTCTAAATTTTTTCTGATGCTCCTAATTTTTTTTCTGGTGCTCCTAAATATTTCAGGTTGGTAGCACCGGTGCTCCCAAGTAAGAAAGTTAATTTCGAGCCCTGTAAACAGTATGAAAAATAACAAAAAAAAACATCAGTGTGTGGACTTAAAAATACAAAACAACATTAAGTGCAACATAAAGAGTAAAATCTACTCTAAAATAATAAGAGACTTCAGAAAATAATGTTCTTGAGGTGCAATACATTTGCACTGGGCTTCAGTCCATCAAGTTCGAGAAACTTCACAAATATATTTAAGTTCCTTGAGGTAGCTCAGATTCAGAGCATATATTATGCCTATCAGCAGAGCACAGCACCTTGAGATATCCATTTAGGATTCTCCTACCCTCAACCATGATGGTTTCCATCTTGTTGTTCAATTTCAAAGTAGACTGATCACCAATGACTTGCCTCGTCACTTGCTCCTCCTCAAATTCTTGTGTATTCTTGTGAAGCAAAAAATCTTTTTCGAGTCAAAAAACACTGCTAACATCAACTTTATTTACCAAGAGTAGCCAATATTCTAGTGAAAAGGAGAAAGTTGATTTGGAAATTAAATAAAACTCAGATATCTCACCTTAAAATGTGCCTAACAGTCTGCCTAAAACTTGCCCGGACTTGCTTCTTGTTTGTTCAAAGGGGGAGGAGTTTAGTAATCCAGAACTCCATTTGTGTGGAAAAATTGAGTTATCAACCCTATTTCTTTGGGTTGCTACAACTTAAATGTTGTTTCAAACTAAATCACAGACGTATATACTTTTAAAAAAGCCGAATTTTTTAGTTGATGTAATTATCAATATTTTCCTGTTGTGAAAACTTAATAAAATGATTCTGACAACTTAAAAGTTTTTTTCTACTATCTTTAATCCAATTTAGAATTTTTTAGGTTACCATAATCTATTAAACTATGTACTAGTAACAGACCTTTTGAGTTATTTTTTAGAGTGTAGGCTGCTCTCATTTGTTTGTTATTTCCTCTTCTTTTCCTCCTGCTTTCTTGGTGGATTAGAGTAAAGATGCTGGTATCAGAACTTTGGTTATGCTGGACGAACAGGGAGGTAAGTTACGGCGAAAAACAAAATATGGAATCATTTAGTTAAGTTGTGCAGTAAGTCATATTTATTTTCTTATTTGAAACTATTCGCCTGATGAGCTGTTTTGCAGATGATGCATAAACACAATTAAAACCTCATTTATGATCATAATCATCAGGCCGTCATGTCAAAAAAGCAAAAACAACAACAAAAAAAAAAAAAAGAAGCTTTGAGGGTCATGTAAGAGGTAAATTGAACGATCGATGTTGCTGGTAATGACAAACAGCTCTCCTCTTCATCAGATGAAATATATCTGTGTACAATCCCTGGGGCGATAGATAGACTTTCCAGTTAGCACTATCTAATGCGATCCCGTGAACAGCATTTAGTGAAAAATAAAACAACAATTGCTTTATCAGTGCTGTGTGACTCAGCTTAGTCGAAACAAGCACGTCTCTATTGATAAATTAAGCCTTTTTAATGCTTGAGGCTTTTTTATTGTGGATAATAAGAAGTGTAGAGTTCTTTCCACATGCAAGAGAGATTTTAATTAGTCTGTCAAAGCAACATACAGCCCTTCCTTTCGTTCAGTTAAATTATGAATGCTGTGTTCCTCAGACTGCCTCAGGACAATCCATTTCCTACCTTAAATGATCCCGCCACCTTCATCGCCTCCAGATTTAGAGCAGAACCACTGCACATCCCATTGGTAAAGCCGCTGCATGTAATGGTCTGCTAGATCTATCAGTTAGCAGTTCACTTGTCATATACAGGGAGCCATAAGAATGTGCTTTTTTAAACTATGTACCTATTATGGCTGGAGCAACCTGAGGTCAGTTTCACTCAAGGGCACAATGGTGGAAGCTCATTAATCACATTTCTAGCATTTTGAACCTACAACCTAGATTCCCAAATGCATGCTATTGCTCCTGTTTATTTACTGCAGTAATGTACTCTTTTAAGGACCTCTGCAAAACGAGGTTTCAATAATCAAGAACACATTTGAAATTTGCCAAACGTTGGGTTCCAACATGAAAATATACTTTCACATTTGGTCTTGAGCTCCTGCTTAATTTAGAAATCTTGTAGAAATTGGTTCTCAGAAATGCATTTAACAACCTGATTTCTCTGAGAAGAAAAAGGTGTTTTCTGCACTAATAAGTTTAAGATTGACATTCTTCTACACTCTCGGAAATAAAGGAGCTGTCATTGGGGCAGTACCTTTTCAAAAGGTACATATTTGTACTTGAAGGGTCCATAATGGTACCTCAAAGGTACATTTAGGCACTAATATGCACCATTGAGGTACCACTGTGGAACCTTTGGGTACAAATATGTATCATTTGAAAAGGTACTGCCCTATTGACAGCTCCTGTACCTTTATTTCTGAGAGTGTACCGGGAGTGAGGTTTGAATGCGGACATTTGTTCACTGGATCTAAAGGACGCACCAACATTAGGTACAGTTGCCTTAAACTATGCCAAAGCGCAATTGTCCCCCATCCCCTCGGCCTGCACACACATTGCATTTATACTTACCCTACCTGAGCACGCTTGCATCATCGATGATGCGACTGTTCAGTTTAGCAGGAAGCGAAGCGCTCTCGCTTAGCATAAGAGATTGCTTTAGTTATACCGTTTTGTATTATTTTTCGTTGTTTAGGATGCAGTGACATGCAGTCAAACACTTTGACTAACATATCAGCCACTTTTGACGCTCATAAATTGAATAAAAGTCCTTGTGCTGCAGGTATTAGGGGGTTTGCTTAAGGTACAGCTGACATGCAGCGAGGGATTTGCGTCTTTAATAAACTAAGACAGGATGCATTCATTGAACAGTAAGAATGATTAATAAATTCATATAAAACAGTACCCTAAAAGTTGAGTTGAGGTTTGAACCTAAAAACTCACGCATCCATTAGAACTAAAGTGCAATGGTTATAACAAAAGGTCATTCTTTTTTTTTTTTTTTTAATAGCATACAGATGCCCAAATACTTATTTTATATATATTTAAGGGTCAATTTAAATAAGATTTTTGTATAAAAAAAACCCCATCTAATCACTTTACCAGGAATGGGATTGAACCCACAAGGACATTAGTCCATTGGATCTTAAGTCCAATGCCTTAAACACTTGTCCATCCAGATTTGTTGTGTTTGAGCTCTTGAGTTCACAAACACTATACATTGGAGAATACGTTACAAGGCTTGGCGTTTTACTTGTTGCAAAAAAATCTGAAGTATACTTTTTTGCTTAAGTTCAACACCGTTATCAGTCCCTGGTTGTTGCTATGAGATTGTAGTTGTAGGAAATGCTTCTCAAATGTGTTAAGCATTTTAATCAATTGAGATTGCCTGCATTAATTCATGCTGATGTTGACATTTTCAACCAGCAATGAGGTTTGAACCTAAAAACACATGCATCCATTGGAGCTGAAGTACAATGATTAAACCAATTGGCCATTCTGGATAGTTTTCTGAACATACAGTTGCTCAGATACTTCTTTAACATATATTTAAGGGTCAATTTAAATCTGATTTTGTATCAGGAGTAGAGTTTGAACCTACCTATGAGAACTTTTGTCAATTGGATCTTAAGTGCAATATCCTAATTACTCAGCCATCCTGGTGAGTAAAAATAGCTGTTACTCAAATATTAGACAGGCCTAGCATCCTACCTTTAAGTGGACACCATTAAGTATTTACAAACAATTTGCTGATGGAAATCCATCCATTATCAGCAGTGAGGTTCAAACTTACGAAGACATTAGTCCATTTTATTTTAAGTTCAACGCCTTAACCACTCAGCCATCCTAGTTTCCTGCAATCTTAGTGCACATGGAAAAAAAAAACTGAAGTATATTTTGGGCTTACATTCAACACCATAATCAGTCCCTGGTTGTTGTTATGAGATTGCAGTAATAGGAGTTGCAATTGAATCAACTGAGATTACATGCATTAATTGGTGCCAGTATTGACATTTTCAATCAGTAATGAGGTTTGAACCTGAAAACGCATGCATCCATTGGATACTTCTTTTACATAAATTTAAGGGTCATTTTAAATCGGCTTTTGTATCATGGAGTTTGAACCCATGAGAGCATTTGTCAATTGGATCCTAAGTTCAATGCACTAAGTACTCGTCCATCCTGGTGAGTATAAATAGGTATTATTCAAATATAATTCTTGTTTAATCTGTCAAAGTCAGCCTTGCATCCTGAATTTTCAAATGGACACCATTAAGTATTTCCAAACAATTTGCTGATGGAAGTCCATCCATTACCAGGAGTGGGGTTCAAACCCACGAGGACATTAGTCCATTGGATCTTAAGTCCAACGCCTTAACCACTCGGCCATCCTGGTTGGTTATGCTCTTCAGTGTTGAGCACTTGTGGTCATAAACTAGAAAATGGAGAATACTTCAAAAAGGCTATGCTTTTGACTCTAAATGCAAGAGTCTAAATGCACCTGTAAAAAAATTTAACTGAAGTATACTTTGGGCTTAAGTCCAACACCATAATCAGTCCCTGGTTGCTGTTATTGGATTTTGCTTCTCTAATATGTTTTAAGCTTCTGAATATATGGAGATTTGATGCAATAATTGGTGCTAGTGTTGACATTTACAACCAGTAATGAGGTTTAAACTTAAAAGTGCATGCATCTATTGGAGCCTGAGTACAAATACTTAACCTATTGGGCATTCTGGTTATTTTTCATAAGGAACAGTTAAGCATACAGTTGAAGTCAGAATTATTAGCCCCCTTTGAATTATTTTCTCTTTTTTTTTTTATATTTCCAAAATTATGTTTAACAGAGCAAGGAATTTTCCACAGTATGTCTGATAATATTTGTTATTCTGGAGATAGCCTTATTTGTTTTATTTCGGCTAAGTTTAAAAAAAAATTTAATTGATTTAAACACCATTTTAAGGTCAAAATTAAAAGCCCCTTTAAGCTATTTTGTCTACAAAACAAACCATCGTAATACAATAACTTGCCTAATTACCCTAACCTGCCTAGTTAACCTAATTACCCTAGTTAAGCCTTTAAAGGTTACTTTAAGCTGTATAGAAGTGTCTTGAAAAATATTTATAAATATCTATATAATATTTTATTTATTTATTATTATTATTTTAATTATTTATTTATTTTAAGGTTCAAATTAAAAGGCAGACTTCTTGTTCAAACATATGTTTCTCATAGGAGTAGGGTTTAAACGTACATGAACATTTGTCCATTTAATACCTTAACCACTCAGCCATCCTGGTATTTCTCAAAGGTACTGAAGAGCCCCAAAGAGAGATCCACAGTCTGGGCGTTGTCACATTTCTGACTCAGTTGTGGTAATCTTCCACTTAGATGCGAAAAAAAAGAAGTAAAAATATGCTCCACTTCACTATCAGCCAATGAAGAGACAAGTCTCACAGTTTCGTTCTCGCCCCCTTCCCCCTCTTCCCTCAGTCACGCTGCTCTTCCTCATGAGATTAGCTGCAAAGCCCAATTAGCCATTTGGCTAGTTGTCGGTTTAAAATGGTTACCTCACACTCGACCATGTCGGTTGTATTTAAACTAGTTAGAAACACTAATATCACAAGCTTCAATTAAAGGCAAATGATCATATATTCTAAAGCAAATCTTATTCGTTTATAAATAGCACCATCTGTTTTGTTCCCCCAGGGATTTTACAGCGTTTCTAAAGCCCTAAAGGAATGTTTATCCCTTCAGTCTGTTTTTCATTTCAGTTCATGTTTGATCAGCCATTGCATTCTTTAGTTTGATTTTTCCTTATCACAACAACTAATGCTTCATATTTCATTCTCTTTTGCTCTTTATTTCTGATCATCTTTTTTCCTCAGCATGTGTTCACAATGATCTTTTTACAGTTTAGCTCAAACAGTGGTGGCTCAGTTGCTGCCAAGTGTTTATGCCAATAACCACTGGGTTCCCCAAAGGCTTGGAACAACACCCCCATTACAAAATATTTACATAGTTGATTTGTTTGAAAACAATAGTTCACCAAAAAATGAAAGGTGTTCTTCATTGGCATAATTATTTGATAGCACCTTAGTTTAGTTTACAATTAACTATTATTAAAATATTAACTGTTCATTAATAGTTATAAAGTTTGATTTTATTCTGCTTCCCTAATCCTACACAAAACCTAAACCCAACTTCTACTTTACTGACTATTAATAAACAGCTAATTAGTAGTTTATTTAGCTAGTCATGTTAGTTAAGGGTTTATTAACCTAAACTAAAGTCATTCATTCATTTTCTTGTCAGCTTAGTCCCTTTATTAATCTGGGGTCGCCACAGCGGAATGAACCGCCAACTAATACAGCACGTTTTTACGCTGCGGATGCCCTTCCAGCCACAACCCATCTCTGGGAAACCTAAACTAAAGTGTTACCAATTATTTGAGTGAATTTTTTTTTTTCTTTTGTAAGTCATGACAGCCCTATCATATTGTTTTGGCATTGGACAGAAACAATTTGCTATGTGTGTGTGTGTGTGTGTGTAGTAACAAGGGATCAAATGAAAAATAAATATTTCCAATTAATTAATTTTTATTTAGTTAAACGAATGTAAATCAGTTATAGTAATTTAATGAATTTTTATTTGCTTGGCTATATTTGATAAAATTGAGTTGGACTAATTCAATTACTTTTCGTTATGTAAATGATCTTTCTTTTGGTTAGGGCTACGCATACTTATTAGATGGAAAACCTGCACACAATTAAATTGAGTTAACCTAATGAGCTATTTTTTTGAGTGTAGCAATAAACACTGTGATATACATTTTCTCAATAAACAAAATAAAACAATCTGAATAATTTCAATGCACTATGCAAACAACTTTAAATGGCAGCCATGGTATTGTGGCAGAAATGTAGGACATTAATATCTAATTAAGCTAATGTGTTTTTGGTGTCATTCTTCATAACAAATATCAGAGAAACATTACAGTAAGAACAGAGTTTTCATTTGAAGGTGAACTATTTCCTCATTTGGCTTGAAGTGAATCCCAAATTCTATTTGTAAACCCATTTGGCTTGAAAAGACACCTATGCCTCATAGACCAAGTTCTTGGCATGATCTAGCCTAACCACTCATCACATCGTTAAAGTTCTGCGTAGATGTGTTTCTGGACAGCTTAGATGTCATTTGTCATCACCGTTTGTCTGCCAGGATGCAAAGTCTCATTTCATTGCTGTCACCCCTTTGTCCTGACCAGAACAACTCGAGCGTGTTGAAGATGGCATGAACCATATCAACAAAGACATGATGGAAGCTGAGAAAAGTTTAAAAGATGTAGGCAAATGCTGTGGACTAGTATGTCCCTGCGACAAGTAGGTACTGGTGAAGCGTCCAAGGCTCTCACCTGTCTGCTGCTGTCTGACTGTCTCTTGTCACTGTGAATGTTTAAGCCTCTCTCTTTCTTTTTGTCCCTCTCTTTTCCTCCTTGCCTTTCCCTTCTCTTTCTCTCTTTGTCCCCCTTTTCCATACTCTTTATTTCTTTTCTTTTTTTCGGGGGCTGTAATTGACTAATGTTTAAATCAGAGCAACTGGAGCGCATCGAAGAGGGAATGGATCAGATCAATAAGGACATGAAAGAAGCAGAAAAGAATTTGACGGATCTAGGAAATCTCTGTGGTCTATGTCCGTGTCCATGTAACAAGTAGGTGATGCCTGTCGCCTGCCTGCCTGCTTGCCTGAACCCGACAAATAGGAAAAAAAAAAAAAGATAAAGCACGTGGCCAGTTTGCACGCTCGCTCTTGCTCGCTCCGTAGCTGCGAATTTCCCCCTTTGCTCTGCCTGGACTACTTCTCTGTGCATGGGGATGCTGGTAGAGCTAAGTCCGTCTGCGGCGCCACTGGTTAACCCATAGTTGTAGCTGTAGGCCCTGCTCTCTGCCGGCTGAATGCGCAAATTTGCTGGGCTCCATGCTTCACTGATCCTTTGGTCAAGGACTGTTGTTCGTAAATGTTAAGTGCCTGCTTGATATGCATGTGCTACTTTTGGAAATGCAAGCATTACACACTTTTTAAATGAACCGCAGATTAAATATTCACATGTTGTTTACTGGAGGCTGGCAGAGCTGGCTTTTTGTATGGGTTCTCTAAAGGCGAAGCATGTCAATGCATGTGGGTGAGATGGTGGGATAAGTTATCCTGGCGATATTAATTGATTACAGTGCAGCTGATTTCTAATGATGTGCTATTTGTGACCAAGGTGCGCTAAGTCGATTTTTCTTTCATTTAGACAAGTTAGTTCTGGTCCACAAATATAATTGGGTTGAGAAGCATTTCATGAGCGATTATATACAGTTTTACACCACAGTGACTAATCATTGATTCAGTGATTTTCAGAAATGGTCTATCCAGGTTATATAATCACCCCTGAAGATGTCAACAAGCAACTGCTCTTATTTATTCAACGCTTTGTTTAAAAACACTGATTTAATTAGAAACAAACAAGTCTTTCTATGAGGTAGTCGTTGAATCCCTTTCCCAACCATTTCATTCAAAAACACTGATTTATCCAGCAACAAAACAAGTCTTTGTGTGAGTCATTAAATCATTTGCTGAACAGCTTTGTTAAAAAAAACTGATTCATTCAGAAACCAAACCTAAGTCTTTGGGCCCTATCAAATGACCGGCGTAAGGCGCGACACAAATGTTGTTTGCTAGTTTCAGCTTGACGCAAGTGTTATTTTGACGTTTTGCACCAAGCTGTTTAAATAGCAAATGCATTTGTGCGCCCATTGGCATTCTGGTCTCAGAAAGGAGGCGTGTTAATGCGCATTGCTGGCGCGTTGCTATTTTGAGGAACTCAAATAAACTGTTTAATAGACTAGCTTAGAGCAGGTCTAAAGTCCAACGCAGAGCACGTTAGTTCTGCTCCTCGCTTAAACATTGCTTAATACACACAGGATGTACAGCAATACACAAATAACTTGAAAATAAAAAAGAATTCAAGGATTAAAATATTACAAGACATTATTTTCTAGCCTACATAAATATATAAAAACCACTGCCTCCATCCCTTCTTTATCTTGGGGGACTTTTTAGTTTGTTCATGACAATTTGCTTTTGAATAATGTTATTATTATTAGCAGTATTATTTATTGTATGCATATTTATATTTGTTTTATTAAAAACAATCTTAGATTTACCCACCCTTCAGGTTTTAGAACATATGGGCCACAGCATGTGAATTTGGATATAACTTTTTATAATTTTTGACCACACTTCATTATTATTGTTAATTTTTTCATTTGCTGGAAATAAGAACTGAATTTAGAAGTAGTTTTGGATGAAATCTTTGCGCTTAATAAACAAAATTAATGATGTATAGGTTAATGGACGTCTGTGCGTACCACACGTTTCCATATCCATGAGAGTGAAAGTAAAGAATGAGGAGGCTCATCTCTCATTCTTGCGCTGTAGATGCTCTGCTTAACTATTTTCTTTCTAGTGAAATGCTCAGTTTTTCTACTTGCAAAGCAATTCACCATGTAAATAGCAAATGCGCTATGGCACGACGCCACTGACTCTTAAAGGGAATGGAAGATGAGGCTCAAGATTAGTTTATTCTCAAAACACACCTATAATTCATTAAGAGAATAAACTCAACCCTGTTAGACCATGTGCCGTGGCGCAAAGAGGATTTTCTTTCCTTAAAAATAGCAAAAGTGGATTCTGACACACCTTTAATGCTTTTGCGCCCTGCGCTTTGGACTTTGCACCTGGATCGTCAAAATAGAGCCCTTTGAGTGATTTACTGAATCTTTTACTTAAGTATTCATAAAAATGTGCTGATTCATTGCGGAATGAAACAGTTACCATCTAGCAGAGATTTACTAAATCGTGTTTTTAACAGATTTGTTAAAAAATAATGATTCGTTCAGCAACAAAACAAGTCCTTGAGTAAGTCACTGAATCTTTTACTTAAATATTCATTCAAAAATGCTGATTCATTGTGGAATGAAAAAGTTACCATCTGGGAGAGACTCACTGAGTCATTTTCTTAACAGATTTGTTAAACAAAAAAATTTATTTATTCAAAAGCAGAACAAGTTTTTGAGCGAGTCACTTAATCTTTTACCTAATTATTCATTTAAAAATGCTGATTCATTAAGGGATGAAACAGTGAAAGGAGTTAGTAACTGCATCATTTTCTAAACTGATTTGTTAAAATAAATTAATTCAGAAACAAAACAAGTTTTTGAGTTATTCACTGAATCTTTTATTTTATTATTCATTCAAAAAATATTGATTCATTGAGAAATAAAACAGCAACCAGAGATTCATTGAATCATTTTCTGAACATATTTGTTAAGAAACTCATCCATTCAAAAACGCTGATTCATTGAGGAATGAAACAGTGACAGTAGTTAGTCACTGAATATTTTTTTGTTAAAACAAAGTGATTCAGAAACAAAACAAGTCTTTTTAGTGAGTCATTGAATCTTTTACTTATTCGTTATGCTGATTCATTGAGGAATGAAACAGTGACCATTTATGAGAGATTCATTGAATCTATTTCTGAATAGATTTCTTAAAATAAATTCTTTCAGAAACAAAGCAAGTTTTTGAGTGATTTGCTGAATCTTTTACTTAAATATTCATTCAAAAATGCTGATTCATTGAGGAATGAAACACTGACCATTTAGGAGAAATTTACTGCATCTTTTTTTCAACATATTTCTTAAGAAATTCACTCATTCAGTAACAAAACAAGTTTTTGAATGAGTCACTGAATCTTTTACTAAACTATTCTTTCAAAAATGCTGATTCATTGAGGAATGAAACAGTGACAGGAGTGAGTCACTGGATCATTTTCTGAACAGATTTGTTCAATATTCTCATTGATTACGGATCTAAATAATTGACTGTCAACTAAATTGTTTAATCAACCAGTTTGTTTAAAACATTGATTCATCTAAGAACTAAAAAGGTTATGTAATTACGAGTAAATAAAAATTCTCAAATTAAAAACAAAAAATGCTATGAATTATCCAATATTTACACTTTATACAGGGAGATCACTTTTAATTTTCTGATTTTCATTAATAGCAACAATTCTGTGGTTGATGGATATTCTTAGGCATTTTAATTCTTCACTGGAAATGTGGTCATAACATTTAGTTGGAAAACACGACTTAGCGCACCTATAAACGACGTAATCGAGCAGGCACATTTAACCACATTTTCAGTAATATCCAAATGGGCACAGACATTGGTTCTCATTATTCTGAGTGTTTCATGAGTTGCAAATAATATGTTAATGATATTCTGTGTGACCAACTCTTGCATAATGGTGCAGGCACTTCATAAATACTCATGTGAGCAACTGTCACTGGCTGAAAAAGTGTTGAACGGTCATCATTTGGCAATGCAGGCCTTCGCCAGTTGTTTTGATGAAGTATTTATGAATGTTAACTCTTGGGTAGTTTGCTATCCCTTTTATGTATGGGGTTGAAGTGATCAAAGTGTAATAAGACAGAACAGTAAATGTATTTTTGTTCTTAAAGAGTCAACATGAAACAGAATTCACATTGTTTGGATGATTCAAAGGTTATGTATTGAACAGGCATTTGGAATTGTTGTTTTATTATGTAATGATTAGTTTTTTGGTATGAGAATTGAAAAGAAAAGTAGTGATGCAAGCTAATAAAAAATGTTGGCATAATAATTTATGCAAAGCAGGACCAGAATGTGTACTAAAGCTGTGTTCACACTTGGCAGGTTCATTTCAGTCAAAACAAACTCTGGTGCAATTTCTGTTTGTTCATTTGAAGAAGCGTGAACATTGTCATCCGAACAACACACCAGCCAAACAGACCGAAATTAAATCAGTCTCTGTCCACCTGCAAATGAACTCATTGTTTTTGGATGTTTACTAAGTTCTTTTGAAAAATATACACTCATCGTCCACTTTATTAGGTACACCTTACTAGTGCTGGGTTGGACTCACTTTTGCCTTCAGAACAGCCTTAATCCTGCGTAGCATAGATTCAACAAGGTACTGGAAATATTCCTCAGAGATTTTGGTCCATATTGACATAATAGCATCACACAGGGGCTGCAGATTTGTCGGCTGCACATCCATGATGTGAATCTCCTGTTCCGCCACATCCCGAAGGTGCTCTATTGAGTTGGTGACTGTGGAGGCCATTTGAGTACAGTGAACTCATTGTCATGTTCAAGAAACCAGTCTGAGATGATTGGCGCTGTATGTTGCGTCCTCCCGCTGAAAGTAGCCATCAGAGGATGGGTACACTGTGGTCATAAAGGGATAAACATGGTCAGCAGCAATACTCAGGTAGGCTGTGGCGTTGACACAATCCTCAATTGGTACTAATGAGCCCAAAGTGTGCCAAGAAAATATCCCCCACACGATTGCACCACCACCAAAAGCTTGAACCGTTGATACAAAACAGGATGGATCCATGCTTTCATGTTGTTGACGCCAAATTCTGACCCCACCACACGAATGTTGCAGCAGAAATCGAGACTCATCAGACCAGGCAACATTTTTCCATTCTTCTATTGGAAATCTTCTAATCAATCGTCCAATTTTGATGAGCCTATGCAAATTGTAGCCTCAGTTTCCTGTTCTTAGCTGACAGGAGTGCGCCCCAGTGTGGTCTTCTGCTGCTGTAGCCCATCTGCCTCAAGGTTGGACGTGTTGTGTGTTCAGAGAGGCTTTTCTGTGTACCTCGGTTGTAACGAGTGCTTATTTGAGTTACTGTTGCCTTTCTATCAGCTGGAACCAGTCTGGCCATTCTCCTCTGACCTTTGGCATCAACAAGGCATTTGCACCCACCAAACTTGCACTCACTGGATATTTTCTCTTTTTCAAACCATTCTCTGTAAACTCTAGAGCTGGTTGTGCATGAAATATGAAAGGCGCCACAACTCAGAGGAAGATCGTCCTGCAGAGGCAGGCAAAAAAGTAAATCAGCCCCTGGTGGACCTGATCCTGGGTACAAGAGCATTTTGAACGCTGCTTGCAGCTTTAATTTGTTTTGTATCTTTAGGTTCAGATTTAAAGTCACAGTGTGAACACTAAGCGAACCAGAACCAAACATAATATAGTTTTATGTGGTAAAAAAACAAACCTAGAGAACTGAACTACAAGTGTGAACACAGCCTCAGATTGTAAACAAGGTCAATTCTGATTTCATGTTGACTTTAAAGCATTGGCAGATGAATGTAAAGAAGATCTTGGCTTACCTCAGAACTTTTTATTCATGTTTCTTTTTAAAGACACGCACCTGTGTCTGTGTCACTGAGGATTAAGGTCATGGTTGAGTCTCGCTGCCTCTGGTCAGAGCGTTTCATGTCAGCTCACAATGTCACAGCGGCATAAGGCACTGCATGCCATAAAATCTCTATAAGCAGCCCTATCTTACATAAAAGGTTGAAATAAAAGATAACAGCTTATAGGAAATCACCTGTATTGCTTAGAGAGTTGCTGTGAACTTAAGCTTTGTTCAGACAGCCAGAGAGAGAAACAAATAAATAAAGCACAATTTCTAAATTCAATTTGAAACCCAAACCTGTACGAGGATCATCATAAGATGATCTTGAAATCTTAATAGGTTCATAATTCATAAGTCTTTTCATTTTTTTAACTTATTTCTTTAACACTATTCTTGAACACAAGAGTTTAGGTAAAACTTTCCATATTGTGCAAACTGCTTTTAATTATGCTCATCACTGAGATTGCAAATAATGATTAAATTAATAAACAAACAAATAAATAAAATATGTAGATCAAAATAAAATAAATAAATATATTTTGACATAATTTACTCACGCTCATGTTCTTCTGAACCCTAACATAACAGTATACTAATAATATTCTCATAAATTGTTATACATTGAGGCTGTGCTATGTTTTATTGGCCAAAAAATTTACAAAAATGTACCTGACTTACAAAATTATTTGTTTAAAAAAAATTATATATAGATACCACAGCATATTGCTATCATTAATATTAGTTTTGGATAAATGTATAAATAATTAAATAAATAAATAGATAAATAAATAAAACAAAATAAATAAAAAAAAAAGGTATTTTAAAAATATGAATAAATAAATAAATAAAATATATAAATAGATAAATAAATTATATATATATATATATATATATATATATATATATATATATATATATATATATATATATATAAAAGTATATAAATAAAATATATAAATAAATTAATTAAAATAAATAAATAAATTATATAAATAAAATGTATATATAGATACCACAGCATATTGCTATCATTAATATTAGTTTTGGATAAATGTATGAATGAATGAATGAATAAATAAATAAATAAATAAATAAATAAATAAATAAATAAATAAATAAATAAATAAATAAAACAAAATAAATAAATGAAAAATATATGTAAAAAAATATGAATAAATAAATAAAATAAATAAAACAAAATAAATAAATAAAAATATATTTTAAAAATATGAATAAATAAATAAATAAATTAAATATATAAATAAATTATAAAAATAAAAATGTATATATAAATAAATAAATCTAAATAAATAAATAAATAAATAAATAAAAAATACATAAACAAACAAACAAACATTTTGGTCAGTTGGGTCCGTACTTTAACTATACAAGGACTGATGTCCTATATGTGAAAGAAAGTAATATAGGCATGATGATAAATAAGTTATGACACTTTTTTTTTTATTATCGCTAAGTTACTCTGACCTTGACATGCAACTGAGCATATTGTCTTTCAGATTTGAATGGGTGCAGTGTGAACAAAGCCTTTACTGTATGCACACTGTTACTAAACACTGCCTAACTCCCTTTCCCTGGCTGAATGCAATGCATGTTTCTTGTTATGATGAAAGCTTTTCTATTTGTGAACTGATATCCTTTCAGATCTATTAAGCTGTGAATTTTTACTGAATGCATATGATTTGTCTGGAGTTGATCTAAACTGTACTTCTGAATGCTTCTCTTTGTCTCTTCTTCCTGATAACTGTTGTGAACCTCTCTCAATGTACTCGTTTCATCTCCGTTAGTGTCTGTGTGTGTTGTCTGTTGTGCTCTATTGTTTGTGACGTCTTGCATTGGCCTTCACTAATATTGGTAGCAAAGAAGCTGTGAAAAACCAAAGAAGCTTGTTGTTTAACCTTTCTGTTTTGCTTAAGTATAAAAAACCCACAGTTTTATTATTGAGAACAAAGATACATAAGATGCATTAATACTGTGATTTTGGTTGTGCGATTATAGTCTCAGGAATAATCACAGTTATCACGATTATTATGCATTCATTAATTTCAAAACATTACTAGTTTAGAAAAATCTGATGAAAACTCCTTATATTTTAAAGTGTTATTTATTGCTGCTCAGACACAAAATAATAATAAAAAAAACAAACAATAGTCCATTTCTCTTTGGACTTAAAAAATAAGTGAATAAAAGTTGGCATTTAAACATAAGTACAAATTTTACACAAAAAAATAGATATAAATAAATTAAAAAATGTAAAATAAATAACAATTGATTTATTTTAAATAAATCAAATAAAATTAATTACAATAAATAAATACAATTTAAATAAATATTATAAATTAATAAATTAAAAATAATTAATTTTTTAAATGTAAATAATTTTTTTAAATTTTAATATATAAATACAAATTTTTAAATAAATGAATTTAAAAAAATTATAAACAAACTTAATTTTTTTAAATAAATTAAAATAAAAAATAAAATGAAAAATAAATGAATAAATAAATGAGTAGTATTTGTCTAATGTAAATCTAAGTTGCATTATAGCTAAATATTTCCCTTTTACAGTGAAGAAATGTATGTTGGCGTGGGTTTTAGTCGGGGGCTCCATTTTTACCCACAATCCAAAGACATGCACTATATAGGTGAATTGAATAATTAAATTGGCCTTATTGTATGTGTGTGTGTGTGTATGGGTGTTTCCCAGTACTGGGTTATGGCAGGAAACGCATCTGCTGCATAAAACATATGCTGGAATAGTTGGCGGTTCATTCCACGGAGCCGAAGCAAAATGAATGTATGAATGTTAGTCTATGCTACTGCAAGTGGGTTTTTTTTATTTCAATAATGAGGTAAACTATCTGCTGGTGCTTTCAGTAGGGCTATAAATGTCAAGCAAGATGATACCAACAAAATACACATTAGAAATACATGATAACTGAAAGCACATAAATAGTTCCCTTTTTCATGTGGTCACAATAGAAGAAAAGTAAGATTATTCATTCATTCATTCATTTTTATTTGTTATTTATAACCTTTATTTGGTTATTTATTTAATAACTCAACCAGTTGGGTTAAAATTTAGAATTTTAACATTCAACTGATTTAACTTACACAGAACAGCTGTATAAATATGCATACGTAATGTTGTTTTTGTGTTGTAAAGTTTACTTAAGCTGAAACTCAATAATATTGTTGTAATTTTACTTATCAAATTACCTCTCCGTGTTGTGTTTTTTTATATTTGTTTCACCAGCACTCTTAATTCTTGATGATACAAACACACACTTCATAGCCGATAAAACGCTTTCTCTACCTTTTTTGGGGGGAGGAAATGATATTCATATTTGGGATATTCAGCTGTCATTCTCGCCTTTAGGACTTAGCGGAGACATTTATTTATTTAAACAGCCATGATTATAAAAATAATAGTAGTACTTCAATAATAAAACCAGAATGGAAAAAATAACCCAATACATTAGGTTAAAATTACTAATAATTAGGAAGGTGCTATATTAACCTATAGTTGGGTTATATGTTGGGGTATTTTAAACCCCACTATTTTAACAGAGTTGAAAGCTCATTTATTCAGCTTCAAAAGATGTGTAAATTTTGATTACAAAAATAAATTGATTTTTGACTGGTTTTGTGGTCACATTTACCAAGGGTGCCAGTATTAGTGAAGGACACTTTATATGTTAGTTCCAGGAAAACATTACATTAATATATGTGTCCATCGTTTATTCATTTATTCAACACCTTTAGTGCATGTATTTCCATAACATGCAGATATTCCTGTGCTCTGTGTCGAATATCTGCATGTTGTCCTCTGCATGTTTAGAGCTTCAGTCTAATGTAATGCTCATATTCGCTCTGTCTCTCTGTGTCTTTGCCTTACTGTTGTTGTTCAGGTTGAAAGGTGGTGGTCAGTCCTGGGGTAATAACCAGGACGGGGTGGTGTCCAGCCAGCCAGCCCGTGTGGTCGATGAACGCGAGCAGATGGCCATCAGCGGAGGATTCATCCGCAGGTCTGTTACCTATGAAAATAGTACTGCTAAATTCAGTGGAGCCTATGTTTATAAATGTTAAAATGTATAGATGAAAATGAGCAGTTATACTGTGTAAAAGTACTCTGTTTTGTGTTTTTGAGAAAATGCTGCATTTATTTCATACAAAATAAAGTAAAAATAGTAAAGCTGTGATTTTTAATTTTGCCATTTAGAGTTTTTCTCCATTGGTTTGACTCATTTCTTGAAACAGAAATTACATTCTCAAAATTCTAAGATCATTTGGCAAAACAGTGTTACAGTTTAGCACAACACTATAGCTCGCTTGCAAAAGCTCATACCTTTCCCAAAACAGTTCACTCATGTGTCAAAACCAGGCCCGGATTGGCCAATCGGGAGAACCAGAAGAGTTCCTGGTGGGCCGGTCCATTTTTTGGCTGCGAGGGCCGGTGTTTCTAGCTGCTTGCACTCTCAGCAGTCGCACTTTTTTTTTTCATTTATTTATTTATTTGACCATAGCCTCACTCTTTTTATTCATTATTTTGCCGCAGCTCCGCTCTTCTCATTTATTGTCTCGCAGCCTCATGAGCAAAATGCAGCCTGCAGGGTAGTGATGATGTAAAAATCATTCGGGCAACATAAGCGTAACATCGACATTGTGGTCCAGTGGTCAGCACGTTGCGTTATGACGTGTTCGATCCTCACCTGAGTATAGATATACAGACAGACAGACAGACAGACAGATAGATAGACAGACAGATAGAGAGATAGATAGATAGATAGATAGATAGATAGATAGATAGATAGATAGATAGATAGATAGATAGATAGATAGATAGATAGATAGATAGATAGATAGATAGATAGATTTTAAACACCAGTTTAAGGACAAAAGTATTAGCCCCTTTAAGCTATATTTTTTCGATAGTCTACAGAACAAACCATCGTTATACAATAACTTGCCTAATTACCCTAACCTGCCTAATTAACCTAATTACGCCTTTAAATGTCTCTTTAAGGCTGTATAGAAGTGTCTTAAAAATATCTAGTGATATATATATATATTACTTTAAAAATACTAAAACTCAATAAAAGTCACTTTGTTATTTTGTTGAGTTGATTTGTCAACATTAAAAGTCGACAGAGCAGAGATCAAAATCCCATAAGGTAATTTACAACTCTAAATAAAAGAAAAAATACTTGTAAATCACAAATTGGTAGTGAAACTGTAAATAAAGGGAGATATTTCTTACAGCGTATGATTATCGGCATCATCCATCAATCAGAGAAAGGGATTGACATCTGTTCATAGCTAATACAACCTGTACATAATGTTCATGGTACATCCATCTGTAAATATCACCATAGTCTTTCTATAACTGCACTTTATAACTTATACCTGTATCCTGCACTTGCTTTTATTGCACTGCTGGTTAGACCAAAACTGCATTTCTTTGCCTTGTACTTGTATATGTGTAATTATAATAAAGCTGAATCTAATCTAAAAACATAATTTACCTGTTTTGTTGACCATCGGCTGTTGTGTGGACAGAACAGATTGAGTGTCATGTTAGTAAATACAGTTGTCAGTCCTAAACACTGCCTGTGTGAGCAAAAGCTAATTGTTTTCATCAATCTAGCGCAGTGTATCAGCAGTAAGTGCAGCGCGTTTGGCTTGTCAGTGAGTCACGAGGATCTCTATAATTGTCTGTTGAAGACGGATGTCCGCTTTGTGCCAGACTGTAGCTTCAGGCACATCGGGGATGGTCATGAAACCACTGAACTGTTGTTGGTCCTCTGTCTCAAAATATCCAATGTCAGGTCACAAACAAACTAGCATCCGTATACAGCTTAATGCTGTTAGACAGTTGTTGTAGTCATGCTAGTGTAGACAGAACATACAGGAGGGGAGATGTGAGTCAACAGAATCATCAGCTGCGCCATTATGTGTTTACTGTCCTTTTTCTGTCCAGTATAAAATATTAAACAGATTGAGATCAATGTACAGGCATTGTATGGCATTGTGTTTTCAACACCATGCAGTAAAAAAATATACAGTTTGAATTATTAATCCTTCTGAATTATATTTTCCCCCAATTTCTGTTTAACGGAAAGAATACCTCATTAAGAACTGATTTCTAATAACTGATTTATTTTATCTTTGCCATGATGACCATGAAGTCATTGTATAATGAGGGTTTGTTCTGTAGACAAATCAATAAAAATATTGCTTAAGGGGGCTAATAATATTGACCTGTTTTTAAACTGATTTTATTCTAGCCTAAATAAAACATATAAGACTTCCTCAAAAAGAAAAAATATTTTAGGAGATACTGTGAAAAATTCCTTGCTCTGTTAGGTATCTTTTGGGAAATATTTGAATAAGAGAAAAAAATCAGGAGGTCTAATAATTTTCAACTTCAACTTTAGCTCACAGTTTTATTTATTTATTTTTCTTGTAGTTGCAAGATTATATGGCACAGATTATATAGCTCTTATTTCCCAATTGCAGATTACTAACACGCAGTTGATATAAAAATGTTCAGTTGTGGAAAGAAAAATCTGAATTGTGAGTTAAGATCTTGCAACATTATTTTTCAGAAATCTTTCTCAGAATTTTGCATTATCAAGTTACAATATGAAGTCGTAAAAAGTTTTATTGCAAGTTAAAAAACAAGTCAAAATTAGTCAGAATTCTGAGATTTTTACTGTGAAATAGAAATTCATAATTGTGAAATGTTAAAATGTCAGAACCGTATCTAAACCCAGAACTGTCTGATGTAAAATCTGAAAAAATAATCTGAATGGTGAGATTTGAAATACAAGAAAAAGTCAGGGCTGTGAGGAACTATCAGAATTAGGATATTGTAAATAGCCTAGTGTTCTGAGTTTGAATCCCAGCTTGAAGACATTTCCCATCCCTTCCCCCTCTTTGCTTCCTGTCTGAAATACTGTAATGTAATACTTAATAATGGCCAAAAAAAAAAAAAAAAAAACACTTAATTGTTAAGAAAATGTAATAGTGAGATGTAAACTTGAAGTTGTGAGAAACAACAGAACTGTTAAATGAGAAAAAAATAAGAAGATTGTGAAGAAAGTCAGAATTGTGTGATGTAAACATGAAATTCTAAAAACAAATCTCAGAATTGTGAGATGAAATTTTAATTTGCAAAAAAAAAAAAAATAATTTTTGTCAGAGTTGCGAGATCAGAATTGAGAGATGCAAAATTGAATTGTGAGAAACACCAACACAATCTCATGGCAATTCGAAACTTTTTGATTTAGTGGTTTTGAAATTGCAAAGAAAGTCAGAATTGTGGTATTTAAATTTGAAATTGCAAAATAAGGTCAGAATTGCGGAATGCATTCATGCATTCATTCATTTTCTTGTCGGCTTAGTCCTTTTATTAATGCGGGGTCGCCACAGCGGTATGAACCTCCAACTTATTCAGCACATTTTAACGCAGCAGATGCGCTTTCAGCTGCAGCCCATCTCTGGGAAATATCCACACACACTCATTCACAATCATACACTACGTACAATTTAGCCTACCCAATTCACCTGTACCGCATGCCTTTGGACTGTGGGGGAAACCGGAGCACCCGGAGGAAACCCACGCGAACGCAGGGAGAACATGCAAACTCCACACAGAAACGCCAACTGAGCCAACCGAGGCTTGAACTAGCGACCTTCTTGCTGTGAGGCGACAGCACTACCTATTGAGCCACTGCGTCACTATAGAATTGTGGTATGTAAACTTGAAATTGCGAAGAAAGTCAGAATTGCGAGATGAAATCTAAAAAATAACATCCAAATGGTCAGATGTAAACTTCAAGTTGGGACAAAAGTCACAATTGTGAGATGTAGACCTCGAATTAAAAGAAAAAACTTCAGAATTGGGAGATGTAAAAGCAGAATCACAAAGAATTGCAAGATTAAACTTGGAATTCAGAAAATATGTCATAATTATGAGATGAATTGGGAAAACAAAGTCACAATTGTGCGATTTAGGCTTAAAATAAAAAAAAAAATCAGAATTGCAAGATGTAAACTTTGAATTTGTAACAAAGTCAGAATTGGGCAATGTAAACTTGAAACTGTGAAAAACATCAGAAATGTGATTTACACTTTAATTTGCAAAGAAAGTCACAATTGTGAGATGTAAACTTAGAATAAAAACAACATCAGAACTGTGAGACGTAAACTCAGAATTACGAAATAAAAAGAAAATCAAGAAAAAAGTCAAGAAAAATCAATTTTTTTATCATGTACTTATAACTAAGTCTCATTGTCTTGTCGTGTCTTTCACAACATGTCATATTATGAAAGTAAGATGGACTGCGAATGCATTTCAGTGTTGCCTTTAATATGAAAATCCTCCTGAGGGTTTTGCGCATCAGTCAACGGTTTTATCTGTTTGCTTTTCCGCAGGGTAACAAATGATGCGCGGGAGAATGAAATGGATGAGAATTTGGAGCAGGTCGGGAGTATCATCGGTAACCTTCGCCACATGGCTCTCGACATGGGCAACGAGATCGACACCCAGAACCGTCAAATCGACAGGATTATGGACATGGTGAGATCATGCCGTTGCAATATCACAGAAATTATTAACCAACACAACAGCCTCAGTACAGACTCTCTCAAGAGATAAGAGCATCTAATTATAACACATAATGCTTGCTGGTGCTTGAAATGACACATCCCACTGTAAAAAAATAAATAAATAAAGACATGTATTTTACTCTGGAGTATTAATGGATTCTGGATCATAAATCCACTTTATTAAGGAATGCTTTTTATTACTATTTCTCTTCAGAACAGGGTGTTTTATTTAATAACAAAATGAATACTAGTTTTCAATCAGAGAAGCTCAACATGATGTGATGTTATTGTAATTAAAATCTTATTATGAGCATATGTATTGATGTAATAATCTAGGTACAAAAATAGCTTGTTTTGTTAAATAAAAAAAATCTTGAAACTTAATATTAACATTATATAATTATTTTTATTGATTAGGTTATTAAAGATAATCGGGTAGCCTCAGTATGACAATTATTTACATTTAAACATCCTGAATTTATGATTATTTGTATTAATATTATGACAATTTTCAGTGTTAAATTAACAATTTAACAATCTATCTGAATTTATACATACATTTTTTCGGCTTAGTCCCTTTATTAATCAGGGGTCACCACAGCGGAATGAACCACCAACTTATCCAGAATATCTTTTACGTCTAGCTTAATTAAAATGCCAAAAAGATATACTTTATTTGTTGTATTTAACTGTTGTTACTTTTTATTTGTGAAACTTCTGGAGAAAAAAAAACATGGGGTGTAAACTTCTAGAATAAAAAATGTAACAAGCATAAAACTGTAAGATATAAACTTCGAACTGTGATGAAAGTCACATCTGTGCCATGTATAAAATTGTGACATCACAATTGTGAAATGAAAATTTCAAATTAGGCAGTTCATTCCGCTGTGGCGACCCCAGATTACAGTAATAAAGAGACTAAGCCGAAAAGAAAATGAATGAATGAAATTTTGAATTATGAACAAAGACAGAATTTTGATATGAAAACGTTGAATTTGGATGAAAGTCAGAATTGCGTAACGTAAACTTGAAACTGTAAAATAAATCAGATTTGAAAGATGTAAGCTTGTTTTTAATTGAATAATAATAATAATAATAATAATAATAATAATAATAATGATTATTAAACAGGTTATTAATTAAGATAATCAGGTAGCCTAAGTATGATGTAAAATTATTTGCATTTAAACATCCTGAATTTATTATTTGTATTTATATTATGAAAAACAAGCTTAATTATGCAATATATTGTATGATTATTATTAAATATATTATGCAATGATACAATATAATCACCTTTTTCATTCTCAGTAACTGTTGTTATTTTTTCTCTTGAAACTTCTGCAGAAATAACATAAATATTCACTGCAAAACCTGACAGTCAACTTTATTAATGAAATGAGTGTAATTAACTCAAAATGTACTGAAAGTTAATTCTACTCATTTGAGAAGAGTTTTGAACACAGTGCTGAAGGTACTGAGTTCATTAAATACCTCATTACTTCAACTTAAATGGAGCAAGTTCACCGTACTCATATGGATTAGTTTTTTTTAACTCAAACGGTTTGTAGCAATTAGTTTTGTCAAATGATTTAAGTCGCCTTAACTTATTGGTTCTCAATCAGGGGTGATTAACACAACATTGAATTATTAAAATGAACTAAATATTATGAATATTATATTATTTTTGGGGCAAAGCGCAGTTGGTAGTGCTGTCGCTTCACAGCAAGAAGGTATAAAAACTTGCTGGATAAGTTGGCGGTTCATTCCGCTGTGGCGACCCCGGATTAATAAAGGGACTAAGCTGACAAGAAAATGAATGAGTGAATTATATTATTTTATGATTAAACTAACTTCTTCTACATAACTAAAACTTCTAAATAACTAATAATAAAATAACTTGGGTTTTTAATAAAAAAAAATTTGTTATTTATTCTTTTATTTAGTGTTTTATAATAGCTGCCACTAAAACATCTAGACTCATGAAATAATCATAGCTAAACAATTAATAATAATTAGCTGATTTTTAATTTATAACTCTCCCAGGTACTATTTGAAAACCACCAGCTTTGCCATAAATGTATCATGAACACTGAATCTAATACCAAATAAACAGTTTATTATTAATTAATTATTTGCCGTCCTGTTAAATTTTATTTCTTTTATATCCTTTCCCACAAATTGCTGTTGAGCAGAGGGATTTTTTTCAACAAATTTCTAAACATAATAGTTTTAATAACTAATTTCTGATAACTGATTTCTTTTATCTTTGCCAGTATTCAGCTTAAAGTCACATTTAAAAACTCAATTAGATTAATTAGGCAGGTTAGGCTAATTAGACAGGTCATTGTATAACAATTTTTGTTTCCTAGACAATAAACAAAAATCTTAAGGGGGCTAATAATAATAACCTTAAAATGGTTATAAGCAAATGTAAAACAGATTTTTTTTTTAATCCAGACAAAATGAAACAAACAAACTTTCTCCAGAAGAAAAAATATTATAGGAAAGACCATGTAAATATGTTCAATCTGTTAAATATCACTTTGAAATTTATTTGAAAATATTACCATCTGATTTTAAGGCTGAACGTGACATAAAATGCCATCTGTCTAAAGAGATATCTCTCTACAGTCTATTACAGTCTACAGGATTTCTCTGTTGCCGTTGGTATTGTGACGAGTGCCAGGTGTCCCTGCGTTTACCCCGAGACTTTATGGAATATAAAAAGGAGTCAGAAACTAGTTCGCTCTTCATATTGGCCTTTATGTGTTTCTCCCAAGTGCTGTTGACTACATACATGCCAGTCAAGAAAATGAGTGGGCAAAAGGAAAAGAAAAATACACTCAAACATCTGTCGCAAAATGCATATCAAACATTAAGCAACTGTTACAATATCACAATAATTAACCCAGAAAAAAAAAACAGAGCAGTCACTACCAGACTGCTGTTGTGTTTGCGATAAGGAGGGACAAGGCTGGATCCTGCTTCTTATTCACAGCTTCTTATTGACTCTATCCGGTCCACCTTAAAAACCGCGACGCTTCCGTTTTTCAGCTTCTTATTTACGCTCAGGAAAACACACTAAGCAAGGGCTTATTATGCGTTCCTGTTGCCATCTTGCGGATAGACAACGTTAACCGTTTTTGGCCGCCGACAAGCTGTCTCTCAGAAATTATAAATGTTTTAAAATAGGCACTATTCTTACAAATAACTTTATAGTTGAAATCTAAATAACTACATTCTCGACTAAAAAAGCCTCAAAAGTACATTTTGTTGTCTAACAACAGTAATATTTGTCAAACTGTAGCGTCTTTGCTTGTTGTTGGCTGTTTGTGGGCGGAGTAATACACAATGAAGGGTGAAGAGGCCTTTGTGTGATGTAACTGGCAAAATTTCTATCAGCCAATCAGATTCAAGAACCAGACAGAACTGTTGTATATAACTATATTATCTACTATCTTCCAGGCTGACTCCAACAAAACCAGGATCGACGAAGCCAACCAGCGGGCCACAAAGATGCTGGGAAGTGGCTAAAATCCCTCGGAGAAGTGCTTCGTGTCCCGTTCCCCGTCCCCCCGCCGTTCCTGCACCAGTGCACATGTGCTTTCACCACGGTATTCGGCCCGACCGGCTCGCACACATGCACTTCTCAGCCCCTCTGCGCTCTATCTAGAACGTGTCGTCGTGTATGTGTCTGTCTTTACTGATAGTCTAGCAAATGGTCACATTTACTCTGTATCTTTTCTCTCCAAAGGTTAAATGTACATAGTGCATATTTGATGGCTAGAACTCACGTGTGAAGTTTCTTCTTCTTTTATTTTTGTCTTTCATTTTCTTTATCAAGTGTATATCATCAAGTCCATTTACACACCATTTTTTTTTGTTTGTTGTTGATGAAATTTCTTAAGGTTTTCAGTCATCTGTGTGTCCATGCTCTCTGTGTTTTACTCTATATAAGCCATGCTTCATATTGAGACGTAGCGCAGCAGGAGATGAATTAGAGATGGTGAGGCGCTGGAGATCACATGACAGTTTGCTTATCTTAGCCTGCCATTTTGTAATCGCCTTTAGACAGTGTTCAGTGACGATTATTCCACCTTAAAGTGGTCATCCATGTATGCGGCGTGTCACTTTCACGTGTTATTACCCTCCTCGAGTCCTCCCTTATGTGTAGACATTACCATACAAGCATGGGCATGTCGGTACATGCATTCGGTTTTGAAGTCACGTCACAAAATAGTGCCACACTTTTTATTTTCTGTACATCTGCGAAATGTGTCAGTTGGTGTAAAATCAGAACTATAAGAAATGCCAATAAAAACGAAACAAACCTGAATCTATTGCTTTCTGTGATCTGATTTACTATATAGCAGGCTTTTGCTGTTGATACAAGTGTGTTCGAGTACGTTGTACTAACCCAGATCCTCTTTGAACCAGAGGCTTTACATGGATTATGGCTGGCAACGTCACTAAGTACATCCAAATGCTGGAATACACAAGTACACACACACACACACAGAGCATGGATAAACACAAGCACGTGTAAACCTATGTGTTAGGGGACGGCTGTGCCATGGTGATTTTTGAAGCGCAGCTGCCAATAATGTACATTTTCATCAGGCTGGAAAAAAGTAAATGTTGAGAAGATTAGCCACCGTGATGAACAGATCATATAACAGGATGGAGGGATTTCATTCTTTGTGGCATTGATTCAGTAAGGTGCTGGAAATGTTCCTCTGAGATTCTGGTCTATAATGACATGATTAAGCATCATCCAATTTGGCTAATTTGTCAGCTGCCCCTCATAAAAATCTGATATATAGGAAATAGTACAAATCAAAATAAATAATGTTTGGATTTTACATATATTTATTGTTATATATGTGCAACAGATTTTGAAATATTATCGATATTAATAGGTGTAATAGTAAATTAGATAGATAGATGGATAGATAGACAGACAAACAGTCAGACAGACAGACAGACAGACAGACAGACAGACAGACAGACAGACAGACAGACAGACAGACAGACAGACAGACAGACAGATAGATAGATAGATAGATAGATAGATAGATAGATAGATAGATAGATAGATAGATAGAATGTCATATATACAAGGTTCATTCTGAAAACGTACTTCTATATACGTTTCTGGAGAGTGCCAAATATGTCCCAGGAGCTACGTTTGTTTGCAGTTTTTGTTTTCGCAAATCCACATGAGGTCGCTGTGTACGCTTTTTCAGACCTCAAATTTCTCTAGCGAGTGCAATTTGCGTCTGCTGTTCTCGTGTAAATCCACTAGAGGCCGCTGTCGACTGACTGTTGCTGACTGACTGAATGATTAATCGATTGACTGACCTACCCTCCTTCTTCTCTAAACCCAACTAATAGTGTTCAAAAGCAATGCAGAAAAAGAAAAGCCCACGCCGGATTTTTAACACGTTTTCAGATTTTACCACATTCTAACCTGTTATTTACATGTTTGTTTTATTTTTGGCTTCTGTTTTTGTATTACCCGCTTTCTGGAACCGTTCTTCACCAGACTCGAACCCCGTCATCATGTTTAACTTGTCTCTGCATTTCTACGTCTGCCGACATACATGACAAGCCACTGGACAAACTGGTAACGGTGGGAAAGCCGTCCATATCAAGGTAAGCGGTCAACTGGTAAGCACGAATAGGAATAGCGACATACCACCTAGTAGCGTTCGTTTAAAGATGAAATGCAGCCATACGTACCTCTGGCTACATAACTCATGATCTCCAGAAATGTATATAGGGCTACATTTTCAGAGCGAGCCTATGTTACATATATGCAAGTTGAATAATTTCAACTTCAATTAAGTTCAATTTAGTAGCAATTTCAACTTCAATTAAGTTCAATTTAGTAGCAATTTTTGATTGAAAATTGCCACCAAATCACACCAAATAACTATTTAAAGGGATAGTTCATCCTAAAATTCTGTCAGCATGTACTCTTTCTCCATTTGTTTCAAACCAGTCTGAGTTTCTTTCTTCTGTTAAACACAAAGGAAAATATTCTGAAGAATGCTGGAAAACCCACTGACTTCCATTTGTTCCTACTATGCATGTAAGTGGCTAAATATTTTTCAGAATCTATTGTTTTGTGTTCATTTGGAGAAAGAAATTCATCAGGTTTAAAACTAATTGAGCGGGAATAAATTAATAATAATAATAATAATAATAATAATAATAATAATAATAATAATAATAATATTAGATTTTATTTATGATGCACTTTTCTCAAACTCAAAGTGCTAATAAGTATACAAAACAAAAATAATACAACCAAAAACAGACTAACAGACTTAAAATTATTAATTTATTAGTAACATCATTACTATCCAGTACACAGTAATAAGTCAGACCGTAGTAATCAGACAAATCAGCAAATTGCATACAGAATATATGACGAATTAAACATTTTACTAAAAAGACAAGTAAGAAAACAGCATTCTGAACAGATGCAGGTATTGCATTTCATATTTTGGGTGCATTATAAGAAAAGGAACATTTTCGTTTTTGGGTGAACTGTCCTTTTAAATTACCTTACCTGGCTGAGATACGAACCTTTTGCTGGTGTCCATGCAGCAAACATATTTTATTTTCCTCTTTGTTGTGGAGAATGAAACACAACGCTGTCGTCATCAGATGGAGATAATGTCCTCTGCTGTCCAAGCTGAAAGGCATGTGCTCAAGCAGTGGCTGACTTTCATATGCCACTTATCGCACAACCTGAAAAGCAAAAACACACATGAAAGCACCGACAACCAAGACTGCAATATCTTTCTGGCCTTATCAGTGTCGCGCTTCTCTGCTCCACATTCTCTAATGATTTTCTTCAGCCAGACCACATTTGAGGATATGTATTTGCCAGATATGCATCAATGGCTTCTATAGATGTACACCAATATTTTACACTGCTATGTACGTGTGTCTAAATTTGGTCCTAGAGGGCCGGTGTTCTGCAAAGTTTAGTTCCAACCCCAATCAGACCCACCTAGGCTAGCTAATCAAGCTCTATCTAGGCTTTCCAGACATATCTGTGCAGTTTTTTTTAGGCCAGTTGGAGCTAAAATCTGCCGGACACCCACCCTCCACTACCAAGTTTGGGCAATGCTCTAGAGCACTGTTTCTCAACTGCTGGGGGTCACGGGAACATTTTCAGTGGGTCGTGGAGTGTGTGGTCAAAAAACAACAAAAGTTTAATTTTTAAAAATGTTTTATTTCCATTACTAATGCATGAAGGTCATGTGACCATCAGGAAGAACGCAGCATCTCATTTCTCACAGGATGCGTTCTGTGTTCTCACAGTCTCCCGAGTTCGTTCTTCCGAGGACACCTGGTAAGACCGGTCTTCACAAGAACGCAAGTCCATTCTCTGCATTCTTGGAACTGAGAAACAGCCAGTGAGAGTGGTTGAGCTCAAGTGCATCAAATGTGAAGCATTATGAAGGGGGGGTGCATGTCAGACATTAGAGAGCATTTGATTGGTCACGATGTGATGAGAAACTTAAGTATGAAGTGACTTGAATTAAACTATTGATCCATTTAAGACTTATTTAGATTTATACTTCTGCATCAGGGGCACGAGTATGCTCCAGCGCAGCCTGGGTGCAGTCGCATATCCCTCACCGTGGCCGTTACTGATGTGCACCTCTCGAAAATGTAACTATACGTTGGAATGATACGTAGTGCAAGCTCTGTGATTGGTCAACTTGGTAGCGCTGACGAGCTGTGAGATTATAGCGAGCCCGTTAAAGCGAGTGTTTACAAGTGTCAAGTTCCGTAAAGGAGCTTCAGATGGAAACTGTTGTTTTGTGTTTAGCTTATGATTAAAGTTGTTGTACGTCTGACAGTTCCCCTCTCAGAATTAGCAAGTTTTAGCTACTTGTACATTAAGGCAGCATTTAGAAAAAAACAAAACACCAGCGAAGAAACTTGACACAAAGGAACATAAGAACCACGTCAGTGATACCAAGCCAACCAATCACAAAGCTTGCGCTACACGTCGCTGTGACGTGTAGTTAAATTTTTCACAAGATGTGTGTCAACATCGCCTGATAGCCACGGCGAGGGCTATAGCCTGGTTTATACTTCTGCATCAAATGATCGGCGTGACCCACAGCGCATGCAACAAGCGTAGCTGTGCATTCATACTTCTGCACGCTGTTTCAGTTGCTCTGCAATGACACTTCCGAAACGCTACTTGGCAGTGAGGTGTTTATGTTCCTCTGTGTCAAGTTTATTTGCTGGTGTTTTGTTTTGGTGTTCCCTAATGTACAAGTGGTTCAAACTCGCTCATTTTGAGGCAGTAACCGGCGGACATGCAACAACTTTAACCATGAGGTAAACAGAAAACAAAACTTTCTATCCGGAGCTCCTTCACAGGACTTCACACTTCTAAACAATCGCTCCATCGGGCTCGCGCAGCTCTCGTTCCCGCCCACACTCATCAACGCTACCAAGCGGACAAATCACAGAGCTTTAGCTACGCGTCAATGCGAGGTGTAGTTACATTTTTTGAAAGGTGCACGTCAGTGACACCGACAGCCACGGCGTAGGGCTAAGCGTCTTTGTGTAGGCTGCGCCGTAGCACAATGGTTCTCAAAGTGGGGGTCGGGACCCCCCGAGGGGTCGCGGGACAATGAAGGGGGGTCGCCTGGTGGTTTCCAAAAATCTATTTATTTTTATTTAAACCATAAGAATAACCATATTTTATCCATAACCTTCTGAAGAGAAAAAATTGTCGTTTATACCATATATAGTTACTATAGTAGCTTATAGTTACTACTTCTATTGGATTGCAACCCCCTGGGGTAATAACATTGTATTAAAGACACAGCAATAGCGTCAGATGAAGCAGATTTCCTTACACCCGGTTAAACTTTGTGGCCCATTTCCAGCTCTCATGCATTAAAAAAATTAAAAGAAGAACAGACTTGGGTCCATTGGTGTGTGTGCGCCATTGCATGCAAGATTTCTGTATTTACAACCATCTCAGAGGATATTGGGGCTCGCGAGTCACTGGCATTGACATTTTGGGGGTCGCGGCCTGAAAAGTTTGGGAACCCCTGCCGTAGCATACGCGTGCGCTTGACGCAGAAGTATAAATTAGCCTTTAGGCATGCGACATGGGTCACACTGATCACTCCATGCAGAAGTATAAATCAGCCTTTAGGCGGAAATGAGAAACTACAAGCCTTACATGTTTATATCTGTTTTATATCTTCTATACGCAAATTTTGTTACTGTTTTGGTGCGCAATAGCTTATAGATATCCTAAAAACGAACA